ATGTTTTTATTTGCTCTTTTTAAATTTTTCCCTTTTTTCCCCTGGGGGCTCCTTATGTAGTCCAGACTAGCCTTGAATTCATGGTAATCCTCTTGCCTTCATCTCCCACATGCTGGATTATAGATGATGCCACCATACCCAGCTTGATTACCTTGCTTGAAGCTTTGGGGCTCAGAGCTGGAAGAGTTATTATTTGGGAAGTTGAGCAAGAAAAGAATGAATGTTGCTAAAGCTTAAATGTTTGCAGCTTTAGTAGAGGGGGAGGAAATAGGTGGTTCTCCTATTCCAAACTAATCATATGGGTAGACGGATAACCTTACCTAAGTGGATAGTCAGGTAGGTGAGTAAACACTGTGAAGCCATTTAGTTCTTGGAGGTCACAGATTTGGACAAATGGGTGTCTGTACTAAGTATGTGCAGTAGCAAGCAAAAGAGATCCAGTTTCAATACCCAGTGTAAAAGGAAGGTAGTTGTGCATATCACCAAACATTGCAAAGAGCCAGAGTAGAGGTGCGCAGAAGTGTCTGCAGGCTCCAGATTCTGCATCTTAACACAGGATCCTTCTGTACACTTTTGGGAACAACTCTCAAGAAAACTGGACTCTAATGTGCCCACCTATCGTGTTAACCAAGGTTAGGTGCCCAATCTCGTAGTCCACAAACTACCTGGTAGGGGAGGTGTAGCTACCTGTAGGTGGAACTTGGGCCAACTCCCCAGCCAGGGTCTTCTGTGTTATTTCCTAACATCCCATGACTTTTGAATGCATCATCCTACTTCTGCTACCTTCACACCACTCCCACAGCTGCATCTGGATGCAGGTGTAAGGAGGAGGAAGGATGTAAAGGCAACAGCAGTTTATACCAAGCTTCAGGTAGTGGGCCTTGTTCTTGTTTGCAGTACATGTCTGGTATGTACTTTCACAAATTACAGCTGTGCAGTGGTATGTACCTTTAATCATCCGAGCTACCTGGGAGGTCCAGGCAGAAGGGTCATTTATGATGACAATACCATTGTTCTAGGCAACTTAAGAAACTGTCTCAAGATAAAAAGTATAGTAGAAATGGCTGGCGGTTTAGTTCAATGAGTGCTTGGTTCCATCCCCAGTACCATCAAAAATAATGAAAACACCAACAAAATCATTTTTAGACTACTGAGGACATAGTTCTTACTTAGTCTATTTGAATAGGCACATAATCTAGAAGTGCTTCTGACCTACAGCAGTAGTCTTCCTCTTCCCTGGCCTGGCCAGAGCATCCAGGACAGACCCTCACTTAATATTACAGAATTTCAGATCTTTACCCAGAAATGGATTTACACTGCTTCTTGGGGTCTGTCTGTCTGTCTGTCTGTCTGTCTCTCTGTATGTTTGTCACACACTCTCTCTTTCTGTGTGTGTGTGTGTATGTGTGTGTGTGTGTGTGTGTGTGTTTCTTGTTTCCTTAAATGAGTCATAGCAGCTCTGTAGCCAGGTTTGGTAGCTGTCTTAGTTACTTTTTACTCATTGCTGAGACAAAATACCTAAAGGCCAAGTTGGGAAAGGAAAGGTTTATTTCTTACATTTTTTGGAGGTTTCACACACTCAGTTGGCTCCAGGGCATGGCTGGGCCATAGTTCATGGTGGCTGCAAACAGCAAGCAGGAACAGGCAAAGAGCAAGACACACCTTCTCCCTGCCATTACATTACATCCTGGCTCCACCCCTCTGTGGGTATAGCACTGACACCATCAATCCAAGCACTAACAATGAACCATCACAAATGCACAATACAAATACATGAAGCCTGGGGGCCCACAGACATAAACCATGGCATTCCTCCCCTGGCCCCCAGGACTCTTGTACATCCTTTATACAAAAGACATTTAGTCCACCACCAAGAGTTTCCAAAGTCTTAAGTTTCAGCATTGCTGAATAGTCCAAGTCCCATGTCTCCTCCATGATCTATGGCAAACTCTTAAATGTAACCCCTGTACAAATGAAACAAGTTTAAACATTTCTCAAATGCAAAGGCACAAAATAAACATTACTATTCCAAAAGTTACAAACAGGGGAATATAAAGCATTGGAAACAAAGCAAATCCAACATCCAGCAGGATGAACATTAAGTCCTAGAGTTCCTTGCTCTGCATCTGAAGCAATATGGTTACAAGCTCCAAAAGGCTTGTGTGATTCCACCCCCAAGGCACTTCCAGGGATTTCACCTCCTGCAGCTTTTCTCTTAAATCCTCTCTGCTTGCTTTTTGGAGCTTTCCTTGGATCGTCCATGTTTCTGGCTTTTCCAAACTTTTGGGGTCTCCACTGCACCTTTGGCTTCACCTTTATGTCTTCACAAATTGCCCTCTCAGGGGCACACAGCTTGGCCTCCCAGGCCCTTTGCAATAGAGGTAGAAGCCATCTTACCCTCAGAATTTGTGCATTTTCCTAGCACCTAAGATCAGCACCATGTGGATGTTGCCAAGGTTTGCTGCTAGCTAGAGCAGTACTCAGGCTTTTCTCTCTCTTGGCTGTAGGGGTCAGTTGCCTGGATCACAGGGCTCTGTTTAACTGATTGTGAGGAAAAGCTTCTCTATGTTGCCACCATTCTGGAACCTCATGTGGCCTGTCACCATTCTGGAAACTCATGTGGTCTCTGTCGCCATTCTGGAACCTGGTGCTCTGCAGCTTTCTCCTCTGAAAAAATTCTTTTACTTTTGCAGTGAGGCTGCACAGGGTGGGGACCTGCTTCCTGGGATGCCCCGGCCCATCTTTCTTATTTCTCTGTTTTCCCTCAGCCATCAGAATCTCAACTGTCTTTACAATCCACAGCCTTCCTGAAATATTCTTTCTGGCCAAACTCACAGTATTGCAAATTATCCCACTGGGCTCTTTCCTCTTGATTTGCAACATAAAGCTGGCTAAAAGCCCTCTACAGTAGCCATGCCACAGACTCAACATTTGATTGCTTTTTAATTTCTTTTTCAAGATTAATCAGTCCATTGCCCTTTGTTTCAGTCTCAGGCAAAGTCTCTGGACATGAGCAAAATGTAGACAACTTTCTGCCAACCCATAACTCACATCATGGGGAGTCCAACAACTACTGCAGTCCTTCTTCCCAGCAGAAATCTCCCAGGCCTGTTCTTTACCATCAGGCTTCCTATCAGCCTTCTGGTCTCCTGAGCTGTGACCACTATCTCCTCTACAGAACTGCCTAAGCTGCTCTAGCTCTATGCATCCAGGCAACACATCCAAACCTTTCCAAACTCTGCCCACAAGCCATTTCCAAAGCCATTTCTTGAAAAACATGGTAAGGTATAGTCACAGCAAACAACCCCATTCTTCGGTACCAAATTCTGTCTTAGTTACTTTTTACTCATTGCTGAGACAAAATACCTGAAGCCCAAGTTTGGAAAGGAAAAGTTTATTTCTTACAGTTTTTGGAGGTTTCAGTCCACACTCAGTTGGCTCCAAGGCAGGTGGGCATGGCTGGGTCACAGTTCATGGTGGCTGCAAACAGCAAGTAGGAACAGGCAAAGAGCAAGATACACTTTCTTCCTACCATTACATCATATCCTGGCTCCACTCTTATGTGGGTGTAACACTGACACCATGAATCCAAGCACTAGACAATGAACCATCACAAATGCACAATGAAAATGCATGAGGCCTGGGGGCCACAGACATAAACCATGACAGTAGCCTACTACTTCTTGTACTTAGGAGCACACTTCTGCTGATCTGTTTCTCTGTGAATAGCTTTGCTTGTTTCAACTAGAAAATTGTTGTTGTTGTTGTTCTTCTTCTTCTTCTTCTTCTTTTTTTTTTTTTTTCTTGTTTCATCTGAGATAACACATTTGCTGCCTTCTCTGGTACAGTTACTCCCTGGTGATTGTTCCTGTAAGCTTAGTGGTAACTTAAGGAACTCTTAGTTGAAATGGTATATGAAACATTTTACTTAGGAACATAAGTTTCCAAAAGAAAGAAAAGGGGAAGAGAGACTGATTGACTGAGACTGACTAGGGTTTTTGTGTATCTGAAACATACTTGTCCTTTGTGTTCTAATGTCAGACTTACCATGCTTACAATGTTACTGTTTCACATAACTGTGTTACACAAATCACTTTTAGAGATGTTAGTATAGTAAAAGTGTGACTTGAGTCTTTAGAAATAAAGCATATATGAAACCTCAAATCACATTACGTAGTGCATGCAAGACTCACCTACCCACTTCCCTGCAGTACTGCCTTGGTATTGCATGAGTTTCTGTGCTGGTGATACATTTGGCATTGAAGGAGGTGTTGAATGGCTGGCTAAAGAAGAGATCAATGGGTTAAAACCACAGAATGACCCAGTGACTTATCAAGTACCCGTTTACTTAAAGAGCAGTGTACAATAGAAACTGTCCTCTGTTACTTGTTTGCTGTATTAGACGATAATCTTTTTGTGGTTAAAAGTCTGCATTACAGCTGGGAGTATGAAACACATCTATAATCCAAGCACTGGGGGAGACTGGTTACACAGAGTTTGAGGCCAACCTGGACTACATACATAGCAAGACTTTGTCTCAACATTCCCCAAACCACAACCACCCCCCAAAAACACTGTTTTTTAAAGTCTCTCACAAAATTAGGCACTGATGTCTCAACTGAGGTGTGGTTTCCTCTTCCTAGATACTGTTTCTTCATTGTTGAAGTAGGGTTTCATGTTTTCCCCTAATTGTCTTACTACCTTGGATATGAAAATTCTGCTTGAGTTTTATAAGTTGGTAGTAATTCTTCAATTCTCTGAAGTAATGGTGATTTGACTGGGAATCAAGAGAACTCTGTAGCATTTTTTATTTTCTCAGGCATTCTCCATAGTATGTGTGTGACTGTCATTACAAGGATGATGTTAATAACATTAAAACTGTAGAAGATAAAAGGAACTGAGAATATGTGTTATACTTTTGAAAATGCTCAGAGACTGTTCCATTAACTTGTTGGATGTGTAGCAGTGCTTCTTTAATTTGAATGTCTTCTTTTTCACAGGCCTGAGTTGCTGGAGGAAGCCCAGAGGCAAGGCTTACCATTTTCACAGTGGGACGGGCCAACCGTGGTTGAATGGCTGGAGGTACATCCCTTTACTACAGAGACCTATGCTACATGACACAAGCTTGTCGTGCATCTCCTGTCTCTACCTGATGTTCTGGTCTTTTCATTCTTCTTTCTAGCTCTGGGTTGGGATGCCTGCTTGCTATGTGGCTGCCTGCAGAGCAAATGTGAAAAGTGGGGCCATCATGTCAGCTCTGTCAGACAGACAGATCCAGCAAGAGATTGGCATCAGCCACCCTCTGCACAGACTGAAGCTGCGGCTGGCCATCCAGGAAACCCTGTGGCTCACCAGCCCTTCGGCTACACCCACATTGAAAAAGGTATGTTCACAGAGGCTCTGTGTGCCCTCTGTGGAGGAGGAAGGCAGAGCCCACAAAAGCAGTGGCCTGCTAATGTTTCCGTGCTGCTTCCTAATCATACAGGGTGGTTTCAACTTAAAATTTCAGGAAAGCATAGTACAACCCCTAACTTGGAGGGGTTGAGTGATCCAAAGAAAATGTGTGAACTGCTTGTGTAAAAGTGTGGTTAAAGCCAGGCGTGGTGGCACATGCCTGTAGTTCCAGTACTCAGAAGGCTGAGGTGGGAGGATCACTGTGAGTTCTAGGCCAGTGGGTTACAGTGTGAGCAGCTTGAACTGAGTAATGAGATCCCGTTTCAGAAAAGACCAAAAAATTAATAATTAAATAAATGAATAAAACTTGGTTAGAAAGGCCTTCTTTAAGAAAGAAGGCTTTTTGAAAGGTAGAAAATTGATTGTCACAAATGTACGTATGAATTTATCAAAACTGAGTAAGTGTAAGGACCTCTTGAGGAAGGAAAAGTTAACATTTTAAGTAGCATTTCATCCTTGAACTTTGATTTCTATTTCATAGTTCAAACAATAATTAGTACTTGTACTGTATATAAAGGTACTTGCTAAGCAAATTATATGCGGAAAATATTGTTTTTCTTCAAGTATACAGGTAGCAAAATATACAGATAAGCCCAGGAATGTATAAACCTTTACATACAATCCCCGGGCATAAATAAGCACCTGGTTATGGCCCCTTGGCTATAAACTAGGTTGGGCTGCCCTTACTTTGTTGTGTGTGGCTTCTTTCCTTCAGTCTTGTGCGTGTGAGTGCATCTGCATCACTGCACATATAGGCGGGACTTACAGAGTAACTGTAATTTGTGGCAGTCCAGAGGTGCCACTGACATACAGTTGACATGCTAACAAGGGGTGGTCACCTCCCAGAAATCCACTGGTTCCTGGACAGTTCTAAGCTTCTCTTCTTTGTGGATGTCTTTTTTTCCCTACAAGAACTAAAGGAGGAAAAATGCTGAGTTTCCTAGATGCACTGTGGTTGTGTGTCACGGCACCAGCAGGTGCTCTGGGTCTTGGGAGCTGCATGTGTCTGTCCAACCATGCCTGTGCTCACAAAGATGCTGTCCACTTGGGGAGTAGTGAAGAGCCCTCAAAGAGCTTCCTGGTGACTCTTCTGATGAAACATTGGTGGTTATTAGAAGGGAAGAGCAGGCCAGCTCTTAAGTTGCAAAGTTCAGGGGTTTTTCATTTAGATGTTCAACAAACTCTTAGAGCTGTGTAGACATCCTTCTGAGCAGCAGAGCAAGGTCTGCCTACAGTAACTTTATACACAAAAAAGTGTGAAGATTTTGTTGTTAGAGAATTATGAAAATGAACAATAAGCCTTTTTTTTTTTTTTAACGTATGGCCAAAGAACACTTTCCCTTGGTGGAATGTTTTGTAACCAGTATCAGTCTGTTCTGCAGCTATTTCCACATTAATGTGGGCTTTGTAGAAATGAAGATGCTGCATGGCTTTTTCAAAGCTTTTAAGAACCCTCTTTCAAAAGGGAGCTTCTGTGATTCAGTTGAACTATTGGCAAGGACTACACCTCACATCAGAAAGACTCTCCATATCACCAGTTACAAACACAGAAATTGCTGTTCTTGGGGAGCTTACAGTGGGCTAGCAGAGTGGCCATCAGTCTCAGGTTTGACTCAGATGGTGACAAGTGCTTTGTTTTTGGTGTTTGCATTGTTTGGCTCTCCTGTGCTCACTATCTTGTGCCCTGGCCTCCTGGGCTTCCTCTGGCTTTGGATCATCTGCTGAAAGCAGCCACAGGAAGCCAAGGCCAGAGCATCCTGTTGTTAGCCTGTGTTGGGGTGAGACTGCTTTCTGTGTGTTTTGTTTTATTCTTTTGTTTTGCTGTACTGAGGCTTAAACCTAGTGCTTTGGGAGAGCCAGGCAAAAACCCTATCATGAGCTATACCTCCAACATGGTGAGACTATTGAAAATACTGTGTATTGAATCATCAGTTACTGGGGAAAGTAACTTTTCAGAAATATAAAGTATGTTCTCATCCATACTTTTAAGCATGTGATCTGGAAATTGTGTGCTGTTCTCCTTATATTCCGACCACACTGTTATTGTTTAAAAGAGGATGAGCCTGTGTTAATGATCTCTGGCTTTCTCTGTGGGTGCCTGAAATGAAAATGTGCAAAGAGTGACCTTTGCCTCGTGGCTCCTTACTGTGCCTGTGGCTCATATGTGCGTCCTTCTCCTTTCTGTCACGCTTCCCTTGCCCTGGATGTGGCTGGTGCACTGGGGTCACCTTAGACCACAGGAAATGTCTGGTTAACACATGAAGAGATGGAAACACTTGCAGCCACATCTCAGATGGTCAGTCAGCCCTGCAGCTCATGTTCCAAAGTGGGTTTCCTACTCCAGACCAAAGGGCCCTTTGTCTTTTGTTGAAAACAAAAGTTAATTTGCATTTGTTTGAAATATAATGTGTTCTTTTTAGGTTATTAGCTCATAGCGTATAGTCGTATTTGCATTTTTTAGATTTTTACAAGAATTTAGTTTATAGATTTGCCCCATTTAGAGAAGATGTAATTTGCTTCTCCTTTTGGAGAGACCTCCATTGAGCACTGCGTTGTGGTTGTCTAACGCCAACAGTCTACTGTATGAGGTTAGTTGGCATGGAAAAAGTCTGCTCCTTGCATGGAAAATTGAAATTCTTGGATTTTCATGAGTTTTTGCATGAGGCATTGATATTTTGAATGTTTTTCACTCAGTCAAGGTGCATGTTCCCTGCAGAATTAATTTGCTTACACTACTAAAGTTCACTAATACTAATAGTTATGTTCTTTTACATTCCTAACAACCTAACATCAGGAAGATGAGGAGGGAAGCTGGATAAGGTTGGAGTCTTTCTATAATATTTCTTCACTCTGTAGCAACAAAAAGCAATTGAGGATGTAAACTTGTGTGACCTGCTTTAGTAGGTGTTTTTCACATCTTAATTTATTCATAGTATCATTAATGACTTGAAGAATGTAATCAAATAAATCACAGGATTAAAGATTACATCTCATGGATAATTTTGAACATTTCCCATATGGGATCATGGAAATTACTTTGAACGAAGGTTGTTTTATTTATGAATAGAATCTTTTATACAAAGTCCCCTGGTTTAGGCAACTCCTGAGTTTATGTACATGTAGTTCGTTGCTGGGTTAGTTTTGTTCTAAAATGTACTGCTGAAAAAAATCATGAAATACACTTCTAAACCTGAAAGTTGGCACGGGGCCTTTCCCTCTATGTCTTTATATTGTTATTTGACTAAGTACTGCCCTACTGTGTTGAGTTAAAGATCTTAGTAATGGAGTTCTCAGAAATTAAGGCTTATCACTTCACAGAGATTGAATTTCAGCTGCCTAACTCTTCACTACACAGAAAGCTCTGCCCCATGTTTTACAGTGTCTGAGTCAGATGACTTGGTTAAATTCCCAGCATCCCTCTGCCCTCGTGGGTCTTTGGTGGGCACAGTGCAGTACCAGGGGACTTGTAGTTCTTCAGCTTTTCCCAGGGGCACGGTATTCGGGGGCTCAGAAGAGTTAGCATATGTCTGAAAGCAAGTATAAATGAGTTAAGATTAGAATTTGCTGATTCCAAGATGATGCTTGAAACAGTTGCTTCTGTTTGCATTTCTAAAGGTTATTCAGTTATAGCACTTGGTTGTTTGTTTTGTTTGTTCATTTGAAAAAAAGAGAGGTGGAACTTGGTGACACATATGGGTCATCCCAGGACTTGGGAGGTTGATCAAGCATGTTTGTTGCAAATTTGAGACCAGCATAGGCTACATAGTGAGTTCAAGGTCAGCCTAAACTACATAGTAAAATCCTGTCTCAAAATTACAAAAAGTTTAGAAACAAAAACTAAGAAGAAAGAGAATAGCTACTAACTGGGTTTCCCTCCCTGGGTTTAGATACTCCCTGCCTCTAGAATCACTTAAATTCACCTAGTTAGAGGTCTCTCTACAGGACCAACAATGACCATCAGTGAATTAAGCAGTGCATTTCATAATTACGTAAGTTTCAATATATTCCAAAAGACAAAGTAGAATATGGTCACCACTTCAATATGAAATAGCATCAGAGACATAAAGTGTAGTTGAATAAGCTTAACATTTGCTTTTTGCAGTGACCACATAAAAGTGGCCCATGCAGAAGATTCCAGATTTACCCCACATGCAATGTTCTGCAGAAGCTTGGTGCACTTTGCCACCATCCTTTCCCAGACAGAGCTATGCTAGCACAAAGCATTGTGCTTTGCCCGTGCTGGCACTGGGTGGCCTCAATCCTGACTGAGCTTTGGAAGGAACACTCAAGTGTGGTCAGAACTGTTCGCATATCAGATGTAAGATATGACTGGCTGTGTAAGAAGGCTGTGCCAGCTGCCAGGAGCCATTAATGAGCAGGACAGCTGCAGTCCCACTCTCGTGGAGCTCGCATTTTACTGACCTTGAGACTGAGCGTGACTTGTCCATGCTTGGAGCATGAGGTCCCTTTGCACACTTCTTCAGAAGGCTGTGGTGGCAGCCAGGGAGAGGAGGAGGCTCTCCCTCAAACTGAGTCTGAGCTGTCAGAATCTGCATTATCAGCAACTGCAAAAGTAGTAAACAGAGATATGGAGGGTTTGCTTCCGCACAGCTTTTTATTTGGAAGATTTCTTCTACTCATTAGAAGATAGCATAGTCAGCAGGCCAGAAAACATCAAATATTCAGGCTGTGAATCCCAGGCCCATGAAAGTATGACTCAAAGGACTGCATCATGGTAACATTGTTAGGTATCTTAATGGTTACCATAGTGGTATATTTGTCACTCATCATTTAAAGAAAGTTTTGAAATCTTTTCTGTTAGAATTGGAACATTCCTCTTAGCTGAGCCATCCCTTGTATCTTGACTGGAACAAATAAAATACTAGAGTGGAATCCATTGTTCTAAACCAAACATGGAGGCCATGCATGGTGGTTTATGACTGTAATCCCATAACTCAGGAGGCTGAGGCTGGAAGATATCAACTTAGAGACCAGCCTGGGCCTAGTGAGACCCTGTTGTAGGGGGTTGGGGATGTAGCTCAGGTTAGAGTGCTTGCCTAGCAGGTATGAAACCCTGAGTTCAAGCCAGGAGGGGATGGATGGGAATGGATAGTTTTTTATTTTAAAGGATTCCTCAATGTACCTTAGGATTCCTGTGAATGTAATTTAATCTTCCTTAGCTGGAGAGCATAACGAACCATTCTCTGTGAAGTGGTTGTATATCATGTCTATTTTTCATTGTACAGACCTTGGACATATTCTGTTGAATTGGTTGCTAAGGATTTTATGCAGTTTAGTGCCATTATATAAGATACTTCTAAAATCTCAATTTCCAGTTCATTTTGTATATTTAGAAATGTTAATTTTTGTGTATTCATTGTATATTCAGCAGCTTTGCTAAATTCATGTATAAATCCTAATAGCTATTTCATAGACTTTTTCAACAATGATAATTGTGTCATTTACTAATAAAGAGAGGTTTATGTCTTTCTCAACTCATGCCATTTTTATGTTTTTCCTGCCATTACAGTGGCCAGGTCTCCAGCACAGCCAAACATAAACGGTGACAGTGGACACCCCTTGTGCTTCTTTCCGTTCAGGGAGACATTTGGTCCCTCATTGTGAGGTTTTTAGCTGCAGGCTTTTGGTAGATGACCCTTAATAGATTGAGGCGGTGGGTCTTTCGTCCTAGAATGCTGAGTTTCATAACTGAATGATGGATCTTGTGCCACATAAGGTATTATGAGACATGGCTTTCTTTGCTGATCTCGTAATTGGGCAAATTTCATTGATTTTTTTTTTTCCTCCTCAGTTGGTGAACCAACCTATTCCTGAGTCAGTAAACCTACTTACCATGATTCCTTATTTTTGGTGTAGTGCAGACTAGTCCCAAACTCGAAATACTTTTGTCTCAGCCTCCTGAGTGCTGGGTTTACAGGCATGCACCACCATACCACACCACAAAAAAAGTATGTCCTGAAGCCAGATGTGATGATGCACCCCTGTAGTTGCCAAAACTCAAGAGACTGAGCCCAGAAGTTGGCTGTTATAATGTCCTATGACAATTGGGCATTAAACTAAGATGGACATCATACTAAGAGTGGCATCAATATCTCTTTGCATAGGGAGTGCTTGTGCATAGCCACTGCACTCAATCCTGGTAATATAATGGGAATCTCTGTCTTTAAAGGTTGTGGGGAGGGGCTGGGGATTTAGCTCAGTGTTGCAGCACCTGCCTTGCAAGAATGAGGTCCTGAGTTCAATTCCCAGTACCCCCCCCCAAAAAAAAAGAAAGGAAAAAGTGTAAGTTATATCTGGGTCAGATTGATTGACAGTATTGTTTTTGTCCGTAGCCTTCCTGATTGTTTTCCTTTTCTTAGTCCTTTTTGGTTTTTTGATTGGCACATTGAACCAGTTGTTAAGAGAGGAGTGTTGAAGTCTTCTAAATTTAATTGTATTTTTCTTTTTTTGTTCTTAGTCTCATTAGTTGTTCGTTTATCATTTTAAATTTACTTTTCCTGATTTTCAAATACACTTGTCATTTAGGAAGACAAAGTATTAAAAATAAAATCAAAACCAGCTAGAGCTCATTTGAATGATTTGAATTGATTCTTCAAACTTGTTCATGAGTCATGATCATTCTTTATTCCTATATTATTATATTGAAAACTAATTCAGAAAAGGAATTTATAGACAGGTATGATTTTTCTATAGCTTGGTAAATTGTCCTAAATGAGTCATAAAATTTTGCCAATATGATTTCTGTTGGATAAAACTTTAGGAATTTGAAAAGGTAGGAATGGGAGACCAAATATTTAGAAATTATGAAAAGCAATGTTGTCATTCATTTAGCCTTTAAGAATGTTGTCTAGATTAAAAATCTGAACTGATGTCACTCATTTGTTGAAATCAGACACTTGCATATGGGGACATGAACCACGAGTGGATTGGCAATGAGTGGCTGCCCAGCCTGGGCCTACCTCAGTACCGAAGCTATTTCATGGAGTGCCTTGTGGATGCTCGGATGCTGGACCATCTGACCAAGAAAGACCTGTGGGGGCGGCTGAAAATGGTTGACAGTTTTCACAGGTGAGGCAGTGCAAGTGGTTCTTCCTAACGGATCAAGAGACTTCACATTGCCACCGTTAAATAACCCCTTATTTTGTAAATAGGAACAGCTTCCAGTGTGGACTTATGTGCCTGAAAAGGTTAAATTATGATCGGAAAGAACTGGAAAGAAGAAGAGAAGAAAGTCAGGATGTAGTTAAAGGCAAGTACATTATGCCGGATGGATGCAGCACATGCCTGCTGCCTCCCAGGCAGCCTGGGTGATTGCCTGTTTGAAAAAGTATAGCAGCCAGCTGAGCTGGCACATACCTGCAATCCTAGCACTCTGGGAGGATATAGCAGCAGAGTCACAAGCCTAGCCCAGGCAGCTTGGACTCCGTGAAACCTTCTGTCAAAATGAAAAGTATAACAGGGCTAGAGATGCAGCTCAGTGCAAATCCCTGTGTTTATTCCTGAGTACCTCAAAAAGAAATCAAGGGCTTAGTGATAAGGCACTTGCTTACCACTTGCATTGCCCTGGGTTTGATCCCTAGGACTGAAAAAAAAAAAAAGCACAAAATAATCATACATTTATCTGGGAATTACACAAATTACAGTTCCAGCTACTAAGAATACTAAGGCAGGAAGATCACAAATTCAGGGCCGACCTGGCAATTTAGTGAGACCCTGTCTCAGAACACTAAAACTAGATTTGAAAATTAGGGGTGTTAAGAATGTAGTTCAGTGAAAAAAGACTTGCCTAGCATGCTCAGGGCTCTGGCTTCTGTCTCTAGTACCACAAAAAAATAAATCAGGGAAGACTTTTAAGTGGAAACAACTGGCTTGGCATGATAACAAGAGGAGGGATGAAAAGGGGTGCCCTGAGACAGTGTGTGCTTATCTCAGTCTGTAGGCTACCCTCTTGGTGCTGGCATTCTTTCATGTAGTTTTCCTTTTGTTGTTGTACACTGTATACGCTCTCTCAGAGATTCTGCCTTATGCTATTAGATCAGAGCAAGGCAAACAAGCCACTGCCTTTTGCTTACTGGATAGAGGTCAAAACTACAGCTTTGGGAGCTTTTTCTAAGGCCTGTGGCAGCATGCAGGGCACACAGTTCTGCTCCCAGAGGGAGGGAGAGGTCAAGGCAACCAATAGCCTAGCACCCATAATTTTGTAATTTATTTATTTATTTTGAGACAGAATTTCACTAAGTACCCTGGTCTGGGATTACACCTGTGACCCTCCTGCCACAGCACCCATACTAACTGGGATTGCAGTCCTTACAGAAACCACAGAGTGTCCTGTGGGCAAAGGAAAGACATGTCAGAAACAGGCCAGGAGGTAGGAGAGGGCATGGCAGCCCCCTCAGTATGACAGGGACAGGCATTTTCTCTGAAGACAACACTGAATGTCATGCTCACGAGAGTCTCTCAGAATTCTCGGTAGTTACTAATAGCACTGCAGTGATGAGAAGAAATGAGACTTACTGAATAATGATCAAGCACTGTGTCAAGTCTTCCATAGTTGATTCATTCAGGCTGCATCGTGGTTCTGTTATTTTCATCCTCATTCTGATGTCTTTTTCTAAATAAAATAAAGGATTATCTATTGGCCAGGGATGTAGCCCTGTGGTAGGACACTTGCCTAGTCTGTGCAAGGCCTGGGTTTTAATTCTTTTAAAACAAAGAATACGTTGAGGTCTATTTAGAAAAGAAAGTCATGGCCGGGGATATAGCTCAACAACAGAGCGGCTGCCTGGCAAGTGCAAGATCGTGAGTTTGATCCCTGGTACCAAAACAAAGTTGAGAAAAAAAATCAGACATGAAATGTATTAATCCATTTAATTTGTTTTCTATATCCCCTCTCCATATTTTGTCAGTTGGCAAAAGCAGTCTTTGAAAAGATTGGTGGTCAGATATATTTTTACAGAGTGGCAATTTTTTGGTCTGTAATAGAATACATTTAATAATTATCTTTGTATGATATACGATTGCCAAAATCTAGTATGCTGGAATGTCTTTAAAATTCTTTCTTTGTAATATATTAAGATGTTGATATGACCAAAGCTTCAGAAGCACAGGGGCTGGGGTATGGCTCAGTGGCTTAGCACCTACCTGGTAAGCACAAGGCTCTGAGTTTGATTCCCAGTACAACAACAAGAAAAAGTAAAAGAAAACGAAGGTCAGAAGGTCAGAAGCAAAGAGTTTGTGTTGAACTCAGCAAGGTATCTGAACTGTCATGGTATCTGCCCCTTTCATGATGGAGAAGCATATCAGGAGACCCTGGGGTCTGTGTAGGAAACATGCTTATACGTGCTAGGTCTGACTCTGACCCTCAGCCTGATGTTTTTGCAGTCTTAGGATTGAACCCCAGGCCTTGTACATACTAGGCAAGTGATCTGCCACCAAGCTACATCCTCAGCCAATCATGCTGTATTGTTCCCTGAATATATCCCATCCACAATCTTACTGTGACACCTGAGTGCACTAGGGGAGGCTTCTAAAGGGAAAGTTTTTATTAGAATGAGGCAGAACCAAAACAGCTGTGTCTAGGTGTGTGTCTGTCAGTATTTGTGAGTGTGGAGTCCATTTTCAGGAACTGAGGGATCAAGATCCATGCTAGGAATCTTTCCCCTGCATTGCAGGACATGTATGATGAAGAGGTTTTCTGAAGCCACATTTACAGTTGTTTTGTTCTTTCACAGATGTGCTTGTTTGGAGCAATGATCGAGTGATTCGCTGGGTCATATCCATTGGCCTTAAAGAATATGCAAACAACCTCATAGAGAGTGGGGTTCATGGCGCACAGCTGGCCTTAGATGAAGCCTTCGATTACAACACATTGGCCCTGTTGTTACAGATCCCGACAGAGAACAGAAAGGTGACAACGGAGTCTGTGCCTCTGTCTGCTTAGCCACAGTGTTCGGTTTTTCTGTGGTTCTAGAATACTTATTTTTCATTTGAATGGAGAGAAAATTTAACTCTAGACAACTAGTAATCACTTTCCATAACTAATCTATAATATGGTAGTTCAAAATAAGCAAATGCTTGATTTTTCACTATCTTTTCTTTCCAGTTTGTGTTGCAAGCATGTGAGTCTTTGAAGTCTTTGTTTTAAAAAATTGTAATGTGTAACATCCTTCAGATATATTTAGTTGTTGTTTTGTTACTTCAGGCTCGAAATGTCTTGGACAAAGAATTTGCCGACCTTTTGGTCCTTGGGACTGTCAGACGTTTTGATGTTGTAAGTTTTCAGCTTTTTTCTCCTCTCACTGCTAGGAATCAACCTCAGGGCTTCACATATGCCAGTTGAGTGCTCTACTACTGATCCTTGCTCTTGGTCCACTACTTAATTTTTGGCAACCTTCAAAAATTATTTCTATATTGTCAAACAGATTGCAGCCTGCGATCAAAGTCTTAAGTTGTGTTTTGGTGACAGCTGACTGTCCTGCCCCAGTTCTTCTGTTTGGAAGGTTTCTTTCAAAAGTATATTAAATTTCCCCTCATGCTAAATCATAACTCACCTGTTGCCATACATTACGATTGTCTTCAGTGAGCTCCAAGAGTACTTGATTTTCACAAAGAAGATGGAAGCTGAATCTGGAAGCAAAGCATTTGTTGGATTATTTGTAGCCAGAATATTTTGAAAATAAATAAAAGTACATTATATAGCAGGCAAGAGCTTGTCCACAGTAAGAAATAAAATATTCTGATGGGTGAGAAAATCACATCCCTGGTGCCCAGGACTGCCCTCGTTTCTCCAGTTGGGGCCCAGCAGGAATGTAGTCATGTTTCCTCTCACACTGAAGTTCCAGTGTGTGCAGCACATTGGAAGGTCACCAGGAAAGGCTAAGTAAAGCAAAACAGTCAGGGGCTTAGGAGTCCTTCTGAAGGACAGTTATCTTTATTAGAGTGTGCCTGTTCTGTGTTTTCATTTGCCAGGAGGATGACAAACACTTTAGGAGAGCACCTTCATGGAGAGAGAAGGTTAGAGAAAAGGCCATTCACGGCGTGGCAACTGGGTCATCAGAGACACTCCCTGCAAACTTCCGAGTCTCTTCTTCCAAGTCTTTCTGCTCTATGCAGCCCAATGAGATCCAGATGGATGGTATGTGGTGGGCCATGTAATGCAACACTGGCTGGGAGCATGTGCGCGCTAATAATTACCTAGAGTGGCCATTGTATGTGTTACAAAGCATCTGAGTTTGGTTGCATGCCCAGGTGTCAATGGTTCAGAATTAGCCCTAACATTTGTTGGAAAATGGTTAACAACAATAATAGAATTTTTAAAAAATCTGTCTGGTTGAACCTTAGCATCCTTGCCCAACTAATAAAGTGGAGCACCCATCTGTGCTCTCAGGGCTGAGGCTGATGCACCTGTGGGGTGCAGTGTGTGGCAGGCAGCACTGGCTTGCCAGGAAAATTGCAGTGTGACACTTGGGACTTCTCTCCACACTAGAAGAAATGGCAGAGTAAACTTTAGCTCACAACTTCCAGCTTCTGCCAACTCTGTCTTTCCTTTTCCCTTCCCTCCAGTGTTATCTTTCCATATACTTACCTTGTGCCACCTGAAGAGGGACAGGGAAGAAGGCAGAAGCCTTGTGGAGACCGCTAGGGCAGCGCTGCTGCCTTCTCAGTGAGAGATGGCAAGGCATTGACCTTTCCAGTGCAGTCGGGATGGCCCTTATGTAACTGCTGACTGAAGAGTGCAGTTGGCTGAGAGGAGACCTTGAGTCCCTGACAGTCCTGCCCACCTAGTAAAAGGCACTGATAGGGTCCTGAGAGAGCCCACATCCACATCCAGCTCTTGTGGTAGCAGGGACATGACCTTGAGCAAGTCATGTAGCTGTGCTGTGCCTCAGTTTCCATATCTGTAACTTGGGCATCATAGTAATGTGATTTTGATGCTTCAATGTGTCATGTGGGTGAAGCTGATGGAGTCCTGAGCCTCTGCATTGCTGACAATCTCAGTGTTAGGTGGAGACTTCATTCCTTCTCATTCCTGATGTACATGGTTGTGCTGTATAAACTGTACCAGTGGGGTTGTTACAAGTTTCCTGTTGTTAGCCCCCTGTGTAGGTAGTTTTCCTTTTTTCTCTTTCTTGCCTGTATGAAAATCAGAGGAAAATACATTTATATAAACTTTTTAAAGCTGAACACTTTCCAGTGTGTCTTTTAACTAGTAAGTTCTTAAGAATTAACACTTTCTCCCTCAAGGTGTCTTACAAATGTTGGCAAGGCATGGAAGTGCATGCCTGTAATTCCAGTACTTGGGAGGCTGAGGCAGGAAAATCATGAATCTGAGATGTATGTGAATCATAAATCCAGGTTAAGGCTATACTGAGCTTCATAGGAAGACCTTGTATCATAAATAAAATAGATAAGTAAGTAAGCTGTGACGGGCCTTGAGCTTAATTTCCATTGGCTTACTAAATAGTCTAAATGAGTACTCTGTTGTTTGCCCTGTACCTTCAATTTCTGTTTCACTATAAGAATCACATTTTCTCTCTGAACATTGCAAGCAATATTAACATAGCTGGATGTGGAGATCACCTGTAATCCCGGCACTGGGGAAGCTAAGGCAGGAAGGTTGCTGAGAGCTCAGTACCAGCCTCGAATTCACAGGGATTGTAGGGCCAGTGTGAACTACACAGGGAGACCTTGTTTCAACAAAACAAAACAAAAATAAAGGGTAGTATTAATGAGTTTGTTTGTTGTTGATTTGTTTTTTTGGTGGCATTTTTGTGGTTGTGGTTGTTGTTTTGGGGTTTGGGGTGGTACTGGGGAGGGAGCCTTCTACCTGTACTACACACCACCCCTTCTTTTATTATCCAGAAAGGGTCTTGTTAAATTGTCCAGGCCTGGTTTGAACTTGGAGTTTTCCTGCCTCAACCTCCCAGAGTGCTAGGATTACAGGCATGTGCAGGCAAACTGTGTAACACTAAATTTAAATGGATTGAATAGAAAAAGTTGTCAGGGTAAATTACATAGAAGATGTCTATGCCACATTGGTAAGAAGGTGGACTGTTACAAATGACTTGCGAGGTGGAGAGTATAAGATAAATTACAGCATGTCTCCTAGACTTTAGAATGAAGGTTTACAATGACTGCCCAGTCTTACCAACACGGCCAGCTATCTGTCTTTTCTAGAGCTATGGCAAGATGTTGCTAAGAAGTATTCCTGGTATACTTGCAGGAAAACAAAACACTGTACAACTGGGAGTGTAAATATCTGCAGAAGATGTTGCAAGCTCTTTACCCAGTTTGTGACAGGGCTGTACTGCCTGTTTAGCCACCCAGTGTTTGTCAAACAAGGACCCCTGCCTCCGTGTTCTCCATCCTTTTTTGTAGAAACTGAGACAAGCTTTAGTCTTCTGAGAAGCACTGGCCATGGCCTCTGGGCTGTGCCTCTTTGCCTGCAACCCACCCTGAGAGCAGTGCCTGCAGAGCAGCTGGGGTTCCCTCCTCCCCTTCGTGCTGCTGATTCACCCCATTCATTCCTGGAGGTCTAGCTGTAGGGCACAAGGAAAAGTCCAGTTGCTATATCAAAGTGTGGCTTAAGGAGCTGCAGAGTAGCTATGTTAGGTGGTTGTCCTTTCTGTATGTGCACACTGAGGTGGTTTGCACTTCCAAGGGGCCCTATTGCTATTTTAGGTGCAAGTGTCCCCTTGGGTGGTGACAGAACCACTCTGGGCAGCCCTCTGATGCTCTTGCCTCACTCTCCCAGGCAGTCTTAGGATTCCTCAGTAGACACCATTGTAGGTGTGGAGATGTGTGTCTTACCTGTGCCCCGTGTGAAGTGTTAAAACTAACAGCACTTTGTTTTTGCATACTTCCTCTCATGGTTGTTGGAACAGGCAGTGTATCAGAAACACAGAAGTTGGATTCTGCGACAGTCAGGACTTCCTCCTGTTAAGCCTCCTGTTGGTGAGTAGAGAGCAGCGTAATCCCTGGAGATCATCCCTGTACAGCAGGGTGAAGCTGTAACAGGGCTAACAGTGTGGGTTTAGACCATGCCAATTTACATGGGGAACTTCAAAATGACAGAAATAGTAGCTCTGTACCCATCAAGGCGATTTTGGTTTTTAGCTGACCATAAAGAGGGCTGTGTGTCATTTTTGTTCTGTTAACTTTTATTTTTATTAGTAAGTTAGTTGTACTTAAATTCATCATGGAGAGTTGGTACCTGTACTAGGACATCTTAAATCTTTTTACCTCCCCTCTCCTGTGTCCCTTGTGTCTCCAGTTTTAAAGAAAAACACGTTCGTTCCCATTTTTTCCTAAAAGCTAAAAATGCCTACTCACTTGAAGTGATGATCTGCTGATGCCATTGTTGGGGGGTGGGCAGGAAAGCAGCAACTGAGGAAAAAAGCACCCCAAAAGCTGACCACACCAGGAGGCCAGAGCCTGAGATTGGGAAGCATCTCTTCCACTGTGTTTATACACAGTGGTACACAGCTCCTATACTGGCTTTGTTACAAACACACATGTACGCACACATATATGGGGAATTGAACCCAGAGTGTTCCCACTGTGCTATATCCCTAGCACCCCATCCCCTTTTTAGTGGGGACAGGGTCTTCCTAGATCATCTAGTCCTTGTTCAAACTTGCAATCTTTCTGCCTCAGCCTTCTGACATACGGGATTGCAGACGTGCCACCATACATGGCAGACATTTTAAACACAAAGCTGCATTGCCATGCCTGGGCGCCAGTGAGCCACTTGTGTCCTCATGGTCTAGAGCTCTGACTGACTGATGGCAGAGGTGTCATTGACCCGTGATCAGAACCCCAGCTGGAGCTCTGCCTACTGTGCTTGTGTTCAGTGCCTCAGCTGGAATCTGGGATGGGCTCCATAGTCTTTTAACTTTAACTTTTAAAACTGTCACAAAATGTAAAACCTCTCTAGTCCATGAGCAGGGTCCTCAGTGTTCTGTCTGCTGACGCTCCAGCAGGGAGGAGGCAGGAGGCCTGGGGAAGTGGGCCCCAGCATGTGTGTCTGAAGTCATGGTCCTTTTCCAGGTGGTGTGTGTTAAGAGAGGCTTTCTGTTTGTTTTTATCTTCCAGTTTTCCTGCACTACTTCTACAGATGATATGCAGCATTTTGAATCCAACAGAGACTACATTTTTTAATTCAGTCGAATCGCTGTTAATACTTGTTATATGGACTCCTAAGATATTTTATAACAGAGTTTTTAATTAGTGAAAAATTCATCAATAACATAGAGAAAATATTTTAGAATTTAATGTTTCTTCTATTTTTGTAAACTTAGGACTTTTCATTTATATAGTTACTTACTTTTTCATCTATGTTTAGGCTATAAATATCTCTGGAAGTAATTCATGTTCTTATATCTAATTTTAGTCTTTCAAATGAATGTACTGTAATGCTTGTATGTATAAACCCTATGAACAAATACACGGCTTTTGTAAATTGTGCACATATTATAATTATTACTATTTAACTTTTTAATGATAAGCCATCCCTGAAAAAATTAGTTTACTACCCTTTTTTTGTCTTTTTTGTTTTTATCGGTACTAGGGATCAAACTCAGGACTGCCTGCTTGCAAGGCAGGTGCTTATGCCACTGAGCTAAATCCCCAGCCCAGTTTACTACATTTATAAAATTGTTGTGACATAAGCAATGTGCATTATCCTTCACCTTGCTCTACATCAGTCATTTTAAAATCAGGAGGTAGGGGCTGGGGATTTAGCTCAGCGGCATAAGTGCCTGCTTTGCAAGCAGGAAGTCGTGAGTTCGATCCCTGGTACCGATAAAAGCGAAAAAAGACAAAAAAAAAAAAAAATCAGGAGGCTTCATTCCAAGCAGTTGTCATATTTTGAGGTTGACTGACCTTAACTGTCCTTTTTTTTAGCAAGAAATCAGAGTCTAATAAAGTCGGGACTGAACCGTTGCACCAGAGCACTATGGAACTTTCTTAGCACTGGTTCCCTTTTCCCCATCCTGTCTCTGGACTTGGGGAGCTTGTCTTCAGAGACTTGACCAGAAGCCATGAGCTGGGAGCTTCTCTCATCAGGGCTGGAGTGGCCAGGGGTGGACCCCAGCCTGGAACCTTCCCTGCCTCTTTCCTGTGAGCATGTGGAAGGTGCCTCCAGCTATTCTTAGAGGACCAATCACTGAGCACTGTGCTCACATCTCACAGACATTGGTGCATGAGCAGATGAGAGCAGGAAACCCTGAAAATAAAGTTGTACTACTCTAACTAATCAAGGCCTTAATTTTCATATGTGAGTCACCTTTTTACATTGGTTTATAAACATGTTTCAACTAGTCATACATTTTTAGATTTTGATGACATAGCCATTTTGGATTGAACAAGTAGCAAATGTAACTTGCTTTTCACTGGCATATTAAAAAGCCAGCAAGGAAGGAGTCAGATCAGGGTGCATGTTATTTATTGTGCAACTGATACATAGGTAGACGCAGCATGCCTTTTTAATTTAGTTTATGCATACAATTCACTTGTACAATCCATATTACTGCCCTTTTTCTATTAATTTTTGTGGAACTTTCTGAGTAAGTAACAAAGTATACAGTCATATACACATATATACTTTTGAACTATTTTAATCACAGTATTATTTATTGCTTTCTTCCAATAAAGTTCTGAAACATTTTTCACTGCCAGTGAAGAGTTTTTTGAATAGGCCATGATTTTGTTAAAAGTTAAGTGCAGCTGAATTGTGTGTGTGTGTGTGTGTGTGTGTGTGTGTGTGTGTGTGTGTTACCGGACATCGAACTCATAACCTCATGCTTGCCAGGCAGGCACTCATGACACTGAGCTAAATCCCTGGCCCAAGCACAGCTGTTTTGCTTCCTGCTCCAGGCAGGTTCTCTGAAGGTAGTGTCGCTATGGAAATCACCGGACAGAAAGCTGGATGACATAAGTGTACCTGGGCATGAGGCAAGAGAAGATGGGGTCCTGCTGAAGATTGGGTCTGGTTAGACTATGGCGGGGAGGTGCTCCCAGCCCAGTTGGGGGTGGGACACTGACAAGCTCAGCTTTGCCTGCTGTGTCAGGCCCTTTGTTCACACAGTGTTACCCTCCTGTTTTCAAGTTTCACATGGCGCATCTCAGAGTAATCATGGGTTTGAGCTCTTGGTTCTCAGCCTTTTTCCCTGCAAACTGTGTGTTTTTGAATGGGGTTTGCAGAGCAGAGAGAAGAGGCCAGACTCTCCCGCATTCCTTGGTGTGTCCCTGGGTGGTAGGTGAGTAGATGGTCCATATCCTAGTGCTATTGCTGCTGCTATTCTGGACACCCACATATCACTTAATGCATTTCAAATATCCCACATGCATTTATGTCTCATTTCCTGGCCTTAATTCCCTAGTGACAATGATTAGTCAGTGATTTTGCCTTCCAGTCATCTGTTGTATTTCATGAGGGAATTTACCCCACGGATCCCAAGAGCCATGGCTGCTCAGGCCCTGGTAGAAAATACATCATATTTGTAGAACCTGCATGTGTCCCTGCATAGATGCTTTGCGTCCTCTCTGGATAACTTACACTTAATACAGTGGCAATGCTATGGGAATAGTAGTTTGCTCTTTAGGAGATACAAGAAAAAACATCTGCATGTATTCAGTACAGATACAACGTCCCTCACCAAGGTGCTGGAGGTGGAATCCAGGGCCTTCACACTAAGCTCTGTCCCCGGCCCTTTGTATTTTGAGGCGGTCTCAGTAAGTTGCTAAATTGCTTAGGCTGGACTTAAACCTCAGCCTCACAGTGCTGGAAGTATAAGCACACATCAACAAACCAATTCAGATGCAGATTTTTAAAGAAATATTCTCAGTCTGCAGTTGGTTCACTCCTTGGATGTAGAACCCATGAGTACAAAGGACCTGTGGTGCTACTTGAGGACAGTTTTTCAGACCCGTGACACCTGACAGAGCAGGAACACACAGTGGGCGGAGGTAGCAGAAGGAAGCAAGCAGTTCCTCTGGGAAGTCCTGGAGAGTCCTCACCTCTACAGCTTGCAGGGGTGGCTCTCAGGGGTGCCTTGGGTCACCTCCACTCAGCCCCGCCTGGGCTGCTCCCAGATGGAGGGTCTGAAATCTGCTCACCCTTGTTTGGGAGTTTGTTCAATTCAGGCATCCTAGCGTCCTCTAGGAATCCACATGTGAACTGTTCTCACGCCTCAAGGACCCCAGTGAAAACCATCCTGTGTCACATGAGAGCCTTACTTTCGCCCCATTTGGCAACAGCTCCCTGTGATTTGATTATAAATACTTAGACATCTCACCCTTCCCTTTCAGAGGAGGCCAACAGGAAAGCACAGGCCTTTCCTCTTAATGGGGGTAATTGAGTTGATGACCTGAGACTGTCCTATAGTCCACATTCTTGTCTTCAGGTGGACAGAAGTCTCTCATAAAGTGGTATAACAGTACTGTAGCATTTCAAAAGCTATAGAGCTGGAGAGATGTTAATCACTAAGGCTTCAGCCCTCTAACCTGGAGTGTGTGTGTGTGTGTGTGTGTGTGTGTGTGTGTGTGTGTGAGTGTTACAAGGGAGACAAATATGGTACAGCTGAGCTCTACTCCCAGCTCCATTTTGTTAAAAGTAAAACAAGAGCATCGTTTGCCTTCTCTTCCCGCCTCCTCCTCGCTCATGGAGAACTGTTTGGAATCTTTATTGCATTACTCTCTCCTGTGTGTGTTCAATGTTCTCTCCGAATTTGCCCACTAGTCCTGTCTTTGGCTTCTCTTTGTGATCTATGAAAATTTTAGCATGCAGCACACTTCCGTCTCATCTCAGCAGAGGTAAGTCAAAACGGAATCTGTGTCCACTAATTTGGGTATTCAGGCTGTAAATGTTTATTTCTAGATATTTGAGGGACTGCACCATACAGGCCCTTTACAGGCTATATTTCCACTGCTGAGGTCCTAACAGGTGAGATCATGTGATGTCCAGAGGGACAGCTCAGGACATAGATGAAACAAAATCATGTGTGCTGGTGACAGTTGAAGTCAGGTGAGATCTGTGAGGATTTGTCTTTTTTGTTGTTTTCTGGGACAGGGTTTCACTGCGTAGCCAGGCTGGGTCTCATTCCTCAGTCTTCCGAGTGCTGTGATTACAGCCGTGTGCCACCATGCCCACCTTTATTAATCTGCTTTTGAGTATGGAATTTTCTGTAATGAAATACAAATAGTATCTCAGGGAAACCCCTCTAGTATAAATTTAGTCTTTAGATTTCTGCAAGTACTGCTTCTTGCCTTCACTCTTAAAAGACTCCATCCTGTACCAGGAATGTTACATCACAGCCCGGTGCATACCCCCTCCATTTCATAAATCCTATCATGGTTGTATTCTTTAATGCGTTTCTGTCTGAAAGTTGAATGCTACATACCAGGAAAGACATTCTGCACTTGAGAAGCCACATGAAGACATCCGTCTTACTGTGGGCTGCAAATTCTTGGCCTCTCTGCTCAATGAAAGTGGAGTCAATTCTCTTCTGACTTGGATTGTGTTTTTCAAATCCATCTTATTTCAAGGAGAAAAAACCCTCAAAATTTCAAAAGACATCAATCAGGAGGCAACAATGATACATACAAGGTGCATTGTCATCCCAAAATCATTCACCCAGAGCCCAAGAAATCTGCAATCAATTGTCCAAACAGTACCAGCACAAATATTTCTCTTCAGTGAACTCAGGAGAAATCAGTAGTAGAAGTATTTTAACTACTTTTTGCATACATATACATATGTTGTTTTAGGTTTTCACACTGAACAATATGATGTTTACACATGTGTGTCTTATTTCGCTTATGAATATGATCTCAAGTTACATCCATTTGACTATAAAAGTCTCCAGTTTATCCTTCTTTCTGACTTTATACTCCATTGTATAAAAATACTACATCTTGTTTCCATTCCCCAGAGGATGGGCATTTTTGTTGTTTCCAAGATCTGGCTATTAAAAATTGTGCTGCTATAAACATGAGTACAGATATATCACTGTAGTATGATGTTCTTTTGGGAAGATGCCCAGAAGGGGAATAGCTGGGCCAAATGGGACCTCAGGTCCTAGTTTTTTGAAGGATCTCCACCCTGATTTTCAAAGTGGTTGCACCAGTCTGCATTTCCAACAACAGTGGAGAAAAAGGATTCCTTTTTCCCCACAACCCCTCCAGCTTTTGTGCTTGCTTGAATTCTTGGCAATAGTCATTCTTTCTGGGGTGAGATGGAATCTCAGTGTTGTTTTAATTTGTATCTCTCAAATGAGCAGTGATGTTGAACATTTTTTTCACATATTTATTTGCTGCTTGTATTTCTTCATCTGAGAAGTGTGTATTCATCTCAGATGCGCATTTTTGGATTGGGTCTTCAAATCTGGGAGGACTAATTTTTTTTCTTTAGTTCTTTATATGTTCTTGATATTACTATCCTTTGAGGTACAACTGGCAAACATTTTCTCCCTTGTTGTGAGTTGCCTCTTCACTGTGTTGGTGGTTTGTCTTGGTTTGCAAAAGCTTTTCAATAGGGTGAGATCCCAGTTGTTTATTCTTTGTGATAGTTCCTGTGCAATCTGGGTTTTGTTCATAAAGCCTTTGCCTACACCAACGTCTTCAAGAGTTTTATCTACTCTATCTTCTAGCAGATTTAATGTTTCTGTTTTAATATTCAGATCTTTCGTCCATTCTGGTTTTAGCTTAGAACCTGGTAAAAGATACGGTCCAGTTTTAATCTTTGGCAGGTATAGAGCCAGTTTTTCCAGCACCATTTATTAAAGAGGCTATCTTTCTTCCAGTGTATGTGTTTGGCACCTTTGATAAGATAAGGTGGCGTAGTATGTCTGGAGTTGTTTCTGGTTTTTCTAATATGTTCTACTGATTTTCAGGTGTGATTTTTGTTGTTGTTGTTGTTGTTTGCCAATACCGTACTTTTTGTCACAGTAGCATTATCTATAATTTCAAGTCAGGGATTGTGATGCCCCCGTCTTGTCTCCATGCTGAGGAGTGACTTTGCTATTCTATAGCTTTTCTAGTTCCAGATGAATTTTAGGATTGTTTTCTCTACTTCTGTGAGATATGCTCTTAGGATTTTGATTGGAATTGCATTGAATCTGTATAACGGTTTTGGAAGAGTGGCGATTTTCACTATATTGGTTCTTTCTACCCAAGAGCACAGGATATCTCTCCCTTTCGAATATCCTCTTCAATTTCTTTTTCAGAGTTCAGTAGTTTTCAATGTAGAGGTCTTTTACATCTTTTGTTAGATTAATTCCTAGGTATTTCTTTTTTTTTTTTTTTCTTGGACGTTATTGTGAAAGATATTGTTTCCCTGATTTCTCTCTCAGTGAGTACAGGAAGGCTACTGATTTTTGAGTGTTGACTTTGTAACCAGCTACATTACTGAATTTGTTTATTAAATCTAGTAGTCTTTTGGAGGAATATTTGGTGTCTTCTATGTCATCTGCAAATAACCATAATTTAACTTTTTCTTTTTCTATCTTTATTCTTTTTGTTTCTTTCTCTTTTCTAATTCTTTCAGCTGAAATTTCCAGGACTATATTGAATAAGAGTGGAGACAGTGGACATCCTGGGCTTGTTCCTGATTTTAGAGAAAAAGCTTTCATTTTTTGTCCACTTAGTATGATGTTTGCTGTTGGTTTGTCAT